ATCACGTCTAATTTCTTCTTGGCGAAAAATACACCATCCCCATCCATTGTTTTGTCAAATGATAGAGAATCTTAGTAGATCCTTTTCAATTCTTTGTTATCTCTGTTTTTACTTTATAAATTACAGCAAATTTATCTCCTTCCCCCCCTCCCTGCGTATAGTGACGGATGCAGGTATAAATAATATAAAATGTTAAATTATAAAGAAATAATATATTTAAGCTTTGGTTTAGTATATGTAAAATTAAGATAGGAGCGGCAAATTCTCCAAAATTATACAACATTTGGTTATTAATATAATATTTAGATAATTAATTTGTAAATATTAAACAAAGTAGTTAAGTTAGTTATTTATAATAAATGGGTGTTATCTTTCTTAAAATATTATTATTTACATTAGAATGAAAATCTTTTAACATGTGCAGTCATGATAAAGACTATTTTGGGGGGAGAACAAATATGAAAAACAAAATGAATTGAGGTTTTATATGTTGAAATAAATTGGAGGTAGTAATCTCCGGATAAAAAAGGTTTGTCAGTTGCCTATACTATAAATGTGAAAAACATATTTACCAATTTGATCTTCGAAGAACTTGAGAGTTTCAATGTAACTAAAAGAGGAAAACGGGTAACAACGAAGGCGAGACCTCCGTATAGCCGCTTTAGGAAGCTCAAAGCTTTATAAAAACAAAATCAATATGCTAATCTTCATACTTAATATAAGAACTAAATGATTAATTTATGAATATAAAAAAGTTAGTTAAATTAATTATTTTTTTTTTAGCTGAAAGTTAAGTTAGTTATTAATTATCTATATAAGAATGGAAATCATTGAATCTGAGTATTTATATTTAAGATCAGATTGAGGTAGTACTTCTCTAATTTTAAGTATAAGACTTTTCATAGTGAAAATTATATTATAAAAAGGGTTTTATATTTAGGACTGGATAAATAATTAATATACACTCCTGTTTGATACATAACTAACAAGGCAATACGTTCCAAATAAAATTCCTTAAAACTAAGGACCAAACAAAAAATTATTAAAGATATTGGGGTCACAAAAATTTCGTAGAATTTAAGGGTCACAATATAATTTCACAAAATGTTAAATAATGAGTAAAAAATAAACGACAAAAAATATATAGGGGAAAATGTGCTTCCAAAACATGTACGGCCATAAATCAACATCAACAATCATGGAAAAGCTCTACCTTTTCATTGGCTACCCCTCTTCTACTTTAAATGCTGTTGTGATTGCCACAGGAAATTCATGGGGTGCCGAGTGTTTGTGTGCCTCAGACCACTTGGGAGATTATTATTTATTTATTTATTCACTCACTATCTAATAATTATTCTAATATCATTTTATACTAATTAAAATAATTAGATTTTGTAATTAAAAATAAAAAAAATTTAAGAAAAAATCAGTTCATTTATAGTTCCACTTGATTTTTGATTAGGTACTTATTTATATTAGGTCTTTATAGTTTTCTTATTTTTGGCCGTTAGTCCAAATACTCATTATCTGTTAATTAGAACTGACATGAATGGTAACTATAAGACATGTAAGTTTCCCAATAATACAAAATAAAAAAGTTCTAACGAAGAAGTAATAATTAAGTTGAAATTATAAATATCCATGTGAGCCCTCATTAATTAACAAAATTTAGTCTATGATTGAAAAAACTATAAAGATCTAATAAAAATGTAGGCGCTTGATTAAAAATCAAGTGGAACTATGAAGGCCGTCCCGATTAATTTCTTCTTAAATTTAGTTGTTTTTAGTTACAAAATGTAATTGTTTTAATTAGGGGTAATGTATTTAAATATTCTAAACATATCTATGAAAAAATACCCAGCACTTGAAAGGTTCATTTGACTGTTATATGTCTCGAAAATTTATTTTCGTGGCATGAGCTTTCAGGGCATAGAAGAGGGGAAAAAAAAACTTTCTGCTTTTGCAAGATACTATTGAGATATTTAAGTCTTTTATTCCTTTTAATTATTATAAAATGGGATTGGACTAATTATCGCATAGCAAATAAATAAATAATAGATATTAAATCATCCAGCACATGGCCTCAGAGTCTCAGACACACAAACACCTGGCGCTCCACGGGATTCCCTCGGGCTACGGGTGTGATGGAGGGAAATGTGCGTGATAACTGGTTAGTGATGTAACGTCAGCGTTTTAAGGTGGAGAAGGGATGGTCAATGGGAAGGTAGAGGAGCGGTTTCCAACAAATAAAAGCTTTTACGTCACCTTACACCAAGTAAGGGAAAAATTGAAATTAAAAAAACAGTGGATTTGACGTGGTAAGATGTTTTATGCTCTGCAAAAATTAGGAGGAAAGAAAATAGAGAGAAGAAAAAACTGGAAGAAAATGTTATCGCCTGGCTTGCTTAGATGGATGAGAGAAAATAAAGAGAAAACAAAATTGATAAATATTTAAATGATTAAAACAGTCTTATCAAAATATATCATATTTAAAATTAAATTAAATTAGATATGACACTAACATTAGTATTATCAAATAATTAAAATCAAGTTATTTGGTTGGTATATATTTTCAGATTGTTATATTTTAAAACCAAATTATTTAATAAAAATATTGTTTTAAGATAAAGAAATAAAAAGTGAATAATTTTTTAAATATAATAAAGAAAATAAATATCGAAAGAAAGAGAGAGAGGAGGAGTAGTTTTGGAAATCTTTTTTCTTCTCAAATCTCTCTATATATAGGGAGCAAATTTATATAGAGAGCAAATTTGGAAAGAAAATGAGGTGTGGGGTTCGTCGTTTTTTTCTTTTACTTTTCCTTCCTTCCACATCTTCTCTTCTATCCAAGCAAGAGAAAACTTGTTTCCTTTCATGCCTTTTTCTCTTATTTTCTCTCTTTCCTAATTTTTTCTCAATCCAAACAAGGGGTAAGGTGACATAAAAGCTTTTATTTGTTGGAAGCCGCTTCTCTACCTTTCCTTAAGCTCATCTAACATTCTAAAGTTTTTTTTTTTGCTATAATATTTTATAGTGTATTTAATATGTTGAAATATTAAGTGGCTCGTATTTTAAAATATTTTTTTGGTTGTATCTAATCCTTTAAAATATTTTTTAGATGCATCTAGTATTCTAAAAATATGTTTTTGGTTTTGGGGCATCTAGCACTAAGAAAAAAGAAAATGAAGTTATTTTTCGGGCACGTGTTTGTGTGTTCTGATCCAAATTTTCTCATAATAAAGGCAAAACTTTTTTTTTTCCCCGGTAACAATAATATGGCCAAACCTTAAGTGCGCACTATATACACAACAAAATAAGCAAAACTATATGCGAAGAAACATTGAATCCAATGTCACCATAAGTCAATGCAATTAGGGCCTGAGAGCGGGTATTTTGCATGCATAGAAACAGACTTATCAATGTGACTCGAGCCGAATGATAATGGAGATTGTAATATCGTGATGGATAATTACTACCAGTTGCAAGAGTAAGTACTAAAAGTTTACCATTAACGATCCATGTATGCCATGATAACATTTTTGAACATACAAGGAACTGGTTATTCTCGGAAACTGCATTAATTAATTTCCACTTGCACTGAAAGTAGTCGTAATAATAACGATGGAAATGCCTCAACCCTTATATATAACATTTGGGAGCACAAGTAGTAACGGACAGAAAAAAGTATCCAAACCCACAACTACAATATCATGATGCAGTAAAGAGGGAAGACATAGTTATTCATGGAAGCCCTACTGGCTGTTTTTTTATACTTAAAATAATTATTATTTACTGTCAAATTATCACTTGCCCTTCCAGCATTTAATATTCGATATTCTTACCTCAATGATACTCATGGTATTTGCATTTTACGCCATCAAATTGTATTGACTTTCCTGTGTTAGAATTAAGCTCTTCAATTAATTCCTTTTCGGCCAGTAAGTTATCTGCCTTTGGCTTGTTATATGCCCTATCGAATGGGCTTCTTTGTCTTGGGGTTCATCTACTTATTGGTTACAGAACCAATAATTCCATTTTTTTTTCTTGTCATTACAGATATTTCTTTCAACATTCGCTCAATCCCTTCGTTCTCATCCTTGCTTTGTTTATTCTTTTTTTTTTTTTGACCGGAACCTTGCTTTGTTTATTCAGTAATTAAACTTTCTTGTCATTTTATTCAGGAAGTAAGAATGGACATTCCCATTTCTGTTGGTGCAAAAATAGCAGAGCTTACTTTAAAACCCATTGGAAGGCAGGCGCGATATTTATCAAGCCATAGAAAGATTCTTAAGGAGCTAGAGGATCTAGTGGAGGAGCTGCGGACAACGAAAGAAGGCATCGACAATCGAGTTGACGCTAGAAGAAGAAATGGAAGGGAGATCAGAGGTGAGGTGCTCAGATGGCAAGAAGGTGTCACTAAGACTTTAGAAGAAGCACAGCAACTTTGTGAAGATGCACGTCATGCAAATGTTGGATGTTTCATATGGTCTTTTCCTAACTTGAAGTCCCGACATCAACATCGCAGAAAAGCAAAGCAAATGGCAAAAACAATTGTTGAAGTGAAGAAGGAGGGGAATTTTGACTATGTTGCGCATGTTCCACCTTTAGATACAAGAATCTTAGTCAAGAAGGACATTGTGTTGTCTCTGATGGACCCTAAGATGAGCAAAATTGGGGTTTATGGGATAAGCGGAGTGGGAAAGACTACTCTTGTGAAAGAAGTTGCCAAACAAGTGTGGGATGACAAATTGTTCGATGCAGTGGTTATGGTAACTATATCCCAAACAAATCTTGGAAGAATTCAAGATGAGATTGCAGAACAGTTAGGCCTTGATTTAGAAGGGATGACCTCATCAAGTGGAAGAGCCAACTGCCTGTGTGAGAGGATAAAAAAGGAGAAAACTGTCCTGATCATACTAGATGATTTATGGGAGAAAATTGATTTGGAGAAGTTAGGAATCCCTTCTCTAGATACACTTGGAAAAGTTAATCCAGAAAAGATGGCAGTTCCTCTAGTGGATGATTATAAGGGTTGCAAATTATTGTTGACTTCAAGGAGCCAAGATATCTTACAAAAGAATGACACTCACAAGAACTTCGCCCTTCAACTTTTGGATGGTGAAGAATCTTGGAGATTGTTTGAAGCCACGGTTGGTGAAGATAAAGATGATGAGGTCCGAACTATAGCAACCCAAGTGGCTCAAAAGTGTTTAGGCTTTCCTGTTTTGATAGTCACAATTGCAAAGTCATTAAAGGATAAAGGTCTTCATTATTGGAGAGATACCTTGAACAACCTAGAAAAGGTTGATAACAAAGACGTCCAAGAAACCCTTATTTTAGCTTTGAAATTCAATTTGAATCGGTTGGAAGATGAAGTAAAGAAAGTTTTCTTTCTTTGTGGTGTACATGGAACATTCATACCCATCAGTGACTTGTTGAAATATGCGATTGGCTTGGGTATATTCAAACATGTAGATACCATTGAGGGTGCCAGGAATAAGCTTCATAGAATAATTGATGACTTGAAGGCGTCTTGTTTGTTGGTTGATGATGATGCAAGATCGGGAGTGATCAAGATGCATAATAGTGTTCGTGAAGGAGCTGTCTTGATTGCCTCGAAATTTGTTTTTACTAAATGTAATTTGAAGCTGCAAGATTGGCCAAGAAAGGATATTCCAGAAAGATGTACCCATATTATCTTGAAACGTTGTTACATACAAAAGCTTCCTGAAAGGTTAGAGTTTCCCCATCTAACATTTCTCCACATAAATAGCATGGATAATCAGACTTTAGAAATTCCAGATATCTTTTTTGAGGGGGTACAAAACCTTGAGGCATTAGATTTAACAGGCATGATCATGTCTTTATTACCAACATCTCTCAGGCACTTGACCAAACTCAAAATGTTGTGTTTGGATTTTTGCTCTTTGAAAGATATGACTGGAATAGGTGCTTTGATAAATTTAGAAATTCTTACCTTAATCTATTCATCCATGGAAGAGTTCCCAAGTGAAATAGAGCAGTTGACCAGGCTTAGAATGTTGGACTTGAGTAATTCTAGTACTACGATTAAGACCACCCTACCCAACATTTTGTACAAGTTGACCAAAATAGAGGAATTGTATATGGGCAATGCCATAATTAAGTGGGAGGTAGAAAGTTCGTCTGAGCAAAAGACAAATGCAAGTCTTCCTAAGCTTAGCCATTTGATTTGCTTGACCACTCTAGAAATTCAAGTTAGTGAGGCTAGGCTTTTGCCCAAGGACATACCATTTGATAAGTTAGAAAGATACAAGATTGTTATCGGAGATAAATGGGAATGGTCAAACAACAAAGAGACCTTAAGGTTGCTAAAGGTGAACTTGGATACCAGCATTCGAGGGGAAGGAGGGATCAAAACATTGATTGAAAGAGCTGAAGATTTATACTTGGATAATATAAGTGGCATTTCAAATGTGCTTTTTGAATTGAATGGCGAAGGATTTCCATCGCTAAAGCATTTGCTTATCCAAAATAATGGTGAAGTTCAACATATTATCAACTCCATGAAGAGGAATCAAACTCAAGCTTTATTCCCAAAATTAGAGGCACTAATACTTCAGAATCTCAATAATTTGGTGAAGATATGTCATGGTCCGATTAGGAATGATTCTTTTGGCCAACTTAAGCTCGTCAAAGTCGAAAGTTGTGATCAATTAATATGTCTCTTCTCTGTTTCAGTGATTAAAGCTTTTTCTCATCTTGTTGAGATTGAAGTTTCAGAATGTAATTCCATGACGAAGATTGTGTCTCTAGAAAATGCAGAGAGCGGAAAAATTATTGATGACAATATTGAGTTTCTTTCATTGCGCTCTTTGACCCTACAACATTTGCCCGCCACCTACAATTTTTACTCTCACGAGTTGACGTCTCTTCCGAGAACTAAGCAGAGCTCGCTGCAGCCTGGTACTCTGACACCCTTTTTTAGTGCCAAGGTAATGGTATGTCCTTTAATTTTTTTTTTTGGGCACCCTTATATTGGTCAAGATGAGTAATATGCAACGATGAAACTTTTTTTTTTTAATTGAATAATACGATGAAACATTTTATCAGCATCATCTTAATTATACATGAATGACGTTAGGTTTTGGATATCCGAGGTCGTTCAAAATTGTCATTATTAACATTATGTCCATCCTATTTTGTTGTGTATTTCTTTTGTCAAAGTGAAACGAAAACCATTTTGTTCCACAGGTTAAATTTTCTAATCTGGAGACTTTGAAGTTGAGTTCGGTTAATTTGAAAACAATTTGGGATGACAAAACGCCATGCTTGATGGAGAATTTGGCCAACTTGACTGTAGAAGATTGCTGTGGCTTAAAGTATTTATTCTCGTCTTCTATAATTGGAAGACTATCAAATCTCAAGCAACTTGAAATAAGTAAATGTGATACGATGGAGAAGATAGTTGCTATAGACGAGAATTATGGCGGTGCAACAAGAGAGGTAAATTTAATTTGATCCAAAAAAAATTGCTTTTATTAATCATAGTTCGGTTTTATGAAGTTGAAATTGAATGTCAACCCCTCCCTCTATTTTCAATTTATAAACGATTCGGTCTTATATATACACATATATATTATCCCTGATCCTTAATATAAGGGTTGGCTTAACTTTTATTGTAGTCTTAAATATAAAATTCCAATCTATTTGTCTTTTATATTTATCTATTTTTTTCTAATGCAGTCTTTGTAATAATGGTAGTTGTACTCATTGCACTTGATTAATAAGGATATTTTAGAAAAGACAACACTTATTTATTATAAATAACTAATTAGTTTTTTTAAGTTAAATTAGTCAACTAGCTCATATATAGAGGACCGGAAATGGTATTATAGACAGAAAATATAAAATAGCTGCGTGGATTCCGTTTAGATGGTTGTTTATTAAATAATACATAAATGAGAGGATATTGTCACCAAGCATATAATAGTATTCTCTATTCTCTCATTAAGTAATAACTAGGCTAGCTTCATTATTAAATTCTTGTTTTAATTTTTTAATCATTAATTTACACAATTATTTACTTTGCAATTGGCAATTTGAATAACATTCTTTTTTTATTTTATTTTTTTAGACAATTATTGGAATTTTAAAAAATAAACTTTGAACAGTGAGGGCATGTCTTATATTTTAAATTAATTGAATTCGTTTTCCAATTAAAAGAGTGCATGCAGAGGCGGCAATCTATGGGACCATCTGATCCCTTATTCCTTAATTTCTTTTAAAGTTATCCCTTAATCTGAACATCATTAATATTATTTTATTCTCAATTTTCATGTTCTCATTTTGGGGGTCTATTTTAGGTTTTGCATTGGCCAGTTCAATAACAGGAGCTCTAACCTTGCAAATAAATATCACAGGTGCTTTTCCCCAAATTGGAAGCAATAATAATAAAAGACATGCAGAATTTAAAGATGATATGGCAACCCATTCTGGCTTCAAATTCTTTGGCCTGCTTTAAAACATTGGAAGTCAAGAATTGTGAAAAAATTGAGAAGATATTTCCCAACTATATGAATGGAGCACTTGCAAATCTAGAAACATTGAAGGTTGAAGGCTGTATGTCGGTGGAAGAGATATTCCAGTTGGATGTCGATGCAGGTAATACAACGCGGCTCAAGGACATCACGCTACTCCAATTGCCACAACTGAAACAAATTTGGAGCAAAGGTTCTCAGTCAAGTCTTCACCTTGAGAACTTGCAAGTTGTGCGTGTTGAAGACTGCGGTGATTTGGAGTACCTTTTCCCATTCTCCATACCCATGAACTTGCCTCTACTTGAACAAATTACAATAAAGCGAGCTAAAAGGATGAAGGAGATTGTTTCTTAGAGAGAAGAAACCTTAGATGATCTTGTCGGATTGAGTTGAATCAACTAACCTCCGTGGTGTTTTGGAGTTTACAAAATTTACAGGGATTTTGTGCTGGAAATTATAGTTTATCTTGTCTATCATTGAAAGAATTAAGTGTCTATAGCCAAGGAAGACTTCTTCATGACAGTCTCCATGTCTCCATGAAACAATCTCTTTTCATGCTTGATGAGGTATGGCTCGTCTTTTAAGAAAAATAATCATACTTTTTGTGTGTGCGTGTTTGCCATGATGTGTTTAGGAATTCCTGGATTAATCAACACTCAGGTCCATATTACTTATTAATATTTATATTACTTTTCTAGTTTTTTGTTTTATTTGCAAAATCACTTATTGAAAGTTTTGTAGTTAAGTAAATCTCACATTTTAATTTCAAATTGATAATATTTTTAATCCATTCCATATATCTCATAATGTAGTTGATTTTAAATATGATATATCTTTCTTTTGTTAAAACTTCTCTCAATACGCTCAGTTCAAAAAATATATCCAGACTACCGGCATCAAAATATGGGTTGAAACTTTAAAAAAAAAAAAAGATTAATACAATTTTCCAAATGTTTTAATTTTTTAATAAACTTTTATTTATTTATTTATTTCACTTTTATATTTGTTGATGCCTCTTACATTGACCTTACTCTAACACAGCTTTAATTGGGGTCTGCTAAGTAAAAATATTAATACTCTTCTACTTACAGTGGATTCCATTCTTATCACACACATGCCCACACACATACTAGAGGCCTTGTACAGTATGGGGCCCTAGTCAGCCGCCTATTGGCTAGGCCTTACACTCCCTCCGGTCTTAGTTTTTCTTGTTTTTTATTAATAACTCAGACATGTTTAATCAAATAGTGGACCGGTTCTTGGTGTTCTAGAATGCCTACATGTGACAGAATGTTCCAATTTGAAGCACTTGGTGCCTTCCTAAGTAACTTTTAATCACCTAACGTATTTAGAGGTGGAAAATTGCAGTAGATTAATGTATTTAATTACCTCTTCAACAGCAAGAAGTATGATTCAGTTAACAACATTAAAGATAAGAGAGTGTGATTCAGTTGAGCAAATTGTGGCGGAAGAGGGAGGGGAGAGCATAAATGGAATTGTTTTCAACAGTCTAATAGTTCCGGAAATTGATAGTTTGCCCGAGCTCCAAATGTTTTGTTCTAGTAGTAACTGCTGCTTCAAGTTTCCAGTGCTGGAGACACTTGTAACAAGGCAATGTGTGAGAATGGTTTCTCTGCGACTGACACAATCGCACCATTGCTTCCGAAGATACTAACACATGAACAAAATGTACAATGGCTTTGTGAATGTGATCTAAACAGTACAGTTAACAAGATGTTCCAGGACAACGTATGCTTTTATTCTAAGCAACTGTGGATCTCATGACATATGAAGTTAGGGAATACTTTTTCTGCGTAATCTCAATTAGCCAAATTTTATTGTTTAATGTGTTTTGAATGTGTAGGGATATGTTTGAGTTTAACAAAAACACCCTTTACAAACATGGAGAAACAGATAATCATTCTTTATGTTCTCCTGACCCTATGCACACCAACAATTGCAGGTGGCATTCCGTAGTTTCGAGTGTCTGGAGCTATCTCGATATCCTGAGTTAGGAGATGTCTAGCTCTGGTACAGTGATTTAAGCATGAAATGTTTGGTAATTTAGTAAGTTTAATAGTACACAAATGTGACTTTTTATCAAAAGTCCTTTTGCCTTTAAATTTGTTGAAAGCGCTGCCCAACTTGGAAGAGCTTGGAGTGAGTAAATGTGATTCACTGAAAGCTCTGATTGAATTACCAAATATGAATGAAGGAAGAATATTAATGGAAAAGGAGACCATTCATTTGAAAAGAATATATCTCTCTTGCCTTCCTGAGCTCAAGCACGTCTGGAAACGAAACTCTCAAGAAGTTGTCTATTTTGAAAATTTTGAGGAGATTTCATTTGATAAAAGTCTGGAGCTGCATACGTCAAAAATCCAAGGATTCAGGGAAACAACAGAAAAAGGTGACTGCTATTATCAGCAACCCGCGTGTTCCATTGGACAGGTATGGAACTTTCCTTCCTTGTTCAAATTATATATACCTAATATACATGAACATAGCGTTATCCGTACCAAGTAATTTACGCATGTAATGAAATACACACACACACAAACTTTGATAAATAAAAATATGTAATATATATGTACTTCTAAATTATAAATAGTGTGACTTGTTAAGAGTTTTAATAGGTCATATATATTATAATTTATAACTAATAATTGTATGTTGACGTTGCCTTCACGGCCTAGTTTCGAAGCCATGATGCCCATTGCATAGCATTGCTCTTCTTACCGTTTTGAACTGTGCTTCACATGATTTATGAAATATTTTGGATAACCTTATTGGGGTTTCTTTTATGCATTATTGAAGTACTTAGAAATATATTTATAAAATGATTATAATTCGTGTGAGATAATTGGAAAAAAAAAAGTATAAACATGATTTAAATATTTTATGAGACATATAAATTAGATATTTCTTTTAATTTAATAGGTTATACATAAGTTTTAATATTTTGAAATTTCGAATAATCGTTAAACAAAGAGGTTCATGTTGTGTTTGCTATCGGTGAGAAGACATGAGGCTAAGTCCGAATAATAAAATGAAGATGAGCTGGTTGTGTTTGTGTCTGTAGTAAAGTTTTCTCGCAAGAATTTCGTAATTTTTTTTCTCAATGTAAGAGTCAGTTAATAACTTAAATAGTAGTATTAGTGTTTAGAGTATTTTTTAAAAAAATCGGAGGAGGAAATTCAACAGAATGAAATGAAATATCATTACTATCAATCAATCAATTTCTATTATAAAAACATGACAACTATACATGTTTCTCTGATAACAACTACTCTTCCGGTCCTAATTATAAGACCCAATTGACTTATTTGAGGAGATTAAGGAAGTAAGTTAAGTTGGTTATTTGTAATAAATAAGTGTTGTCATTCCTAAAATATCTTTGCTAATTAAGTATATTGGCTAAAACTATCATTATTAGAAGGATTATCTTGGAAAAAAATGCATAAATATAAGAGACAAAATAGATTGGGGTCTTATAATTAGGACCAAATAAAAAGTCAAATGGGGTCTTATAATAAGGACCGGAGGAGTATATATTATTGGTTTGCCATGTACATATTATGTTTTTGTCGAACATTTTGATAAGGATGTAAGTGATTGGATACAATGAAGTGATATAAACAGTCAAAATTTAATTATTTTTAATGTGACAAATCATCCAGTATCATGCCATATGCGGTAAGAATATTAAGCCCCTTGTCATTCTTTCCTGGCTAAATGGACTTATGGACTGCACAAAGCCACTTAACACGGACTCACGAACGCGGATGTGAAAAATTGCAGGTATTTGCATTTGAACATTCTAATTCCCAGCAGCTTAGATGGGGTGGCATTGATTTGCAAATTAAACAAGCTTTGTTTTATGTTGAAAAGGTATGCATTCTTTTTATGTTTATTCTATCTATCTATCTTTAGTTTCACTCTTTCTACACAAAAAGATGCATGGTTAAGGAAAAATATAATTACACATATATCTTGTAAAACTGTATAAACAAAATGTTTATGTTAACTAGTTAATTATATGATGAAACAAATTGCATATTGTCTTTTTAGGTGTCCCAAAATTTGGAGGGGTTGCTATTAAATGAAAAGGACATTATGAGGATGTTAAATGGCAACAATGAGAAGAATCTATTTCAAAGCATAAAAAGGCTTCATCTGCAATACTTTCAAGAAACTCCAATAAAGTTTTTAAATGATTTGATCCGAAAATTTCCCGCTATAACTGTACTTCAAGCACGTTGCAGTTCTTTTAAAACATTCTTTCCTTCAAAAGAAATTGGTTGTTTCAGTATTTATAGTCCCATCCGAATTAAAACATTGTGGCTATTTCAATTGGAGCAGCTTGAGCATATATGGAATGATGACGACTCAGCATCTCATCCCGTAGTTCAAAACCTTGAATATCTATATGTAGAGGAATGTTCAAAGATAATAAGATTTGCAACATCTTCTGCATCTTTCAAAAATTTAACTTCCTTGAAAGTGAAAGATTGCAATGGGCTTATGTACTTCATGACAACTTGCACTGCTAAAAGTCTCGTCCACCTCACAAGCTTAGAGGTTAGCAATTGTGGGATGTTAGAGGAAGTTGTGATGACGGATGATGAAGGAGAATCAGAAGAAGAGGTCACATTTGAAAGCTTGGAGTGTTTGAAACTGACTTGTTTGACAGGCCTCAAAAGCTTTTGCTGTGAAAATCACACCTTCATATTCCCATCTTTGGTGACACTTAAAGTGATAGGATGCCACAAAATGCAAAATTTTTCATCTGCATTCCGCATTGCCCCATTTGTGAAATCTGTGGAAGTGGAAGATGGAAAGAAACGTTGGAAAGGCGACCTTAACTCCACCATTAAACAGTTATTCATAGACAAGGTATGTACGTCAAAAAAGTGAATTCCAAAAATTTTTATGCACTTCTTAGCTGCTGCTGCTGCTTCTTCTTCTTCTTCTTCTTGTCCCCCAAGAGCGCTAAACTCTACTTGTCTGTCTTTGGCCTCTATTGGAAAAGCTATATAACAATGCTAAGTGTCATAATATGATATTTCCTTGCCTGACTCAATTAGGCAATCGGAGACGGAATTGAAGATGACCACAAAGAATCTTCAAGTAGCCAGACACAGGAAAAGAGTGTAGGCAAAAGCAGAGCATTAAGCATTGAGGAGCATGGAGCAAAGTCAAATGCTGATGAGATTGTTGATTTAGGGAAGCAAGAAATCCAGACTTCCTATTCCACATACAGGTATACTAACTATGATTGTCTTCTATTCATCGTTTGTTCATAAATAATCATTCTACAACTCAAATATTGGCCTTAATTTCTTTCTTCATAGATTCTAGTGGCTTTCTATATTACTTTTCTTAAGTTAACCTTATTTTATTATTACTACAACCTCATGTCACATTCTATATTTATTTATTTTATTTATTTAGGTATTGACACTCAAAAGATAAGTGAAATCGTTGAGACGCCCTTGGATCAAGCTAGTCAAAACACATTGAGTCTTACACAAGCTGATGCAGGTGCTGATCCAGTTATGCAATACTATTTTTTATTTACTTGGAAAGAAGTGATTTATTAGCATTTTACAAAAAATATATATACTGTTTTTTTTAATTAAAAAAAAACTTATTTGTTTAGTTGTTGAGATTCGGGAGATGCATGAAACTTCTGAGGGAGATGTTGCTTAGGATGCTGAAAATACACTGAGCATTACCATTGTTCAAGGTGCAGGTACTGTTCATGTTTGCTTTGTTTGAGTATTCTATAGATATTTTAAAACTATATTCTACACTAGGAGCTCAAGAACAGCAAAACCTCTTTAGCCCCTACCTGCAAAACCTTCTGGCTTTATAATCAACAGTGTAATCATCCTCCAAACGATCTGAACATAACTTTTGACCATCAAATTTTGTTGCTAATCCCTTAGAGGCAACAATAGTAACCTCTAGTTAAATTTCCAACTTCCAAGACTCAATTCTTCACTCTCCGTCCACGCATAACTATATATGAATATTATCTTAGGCATCCTAGCCCTTGCCTTTCCATATAAACCATGGGGCCATATCTAACAGTCCGGAAATTTTCCAGCTTTGGAATATTATCTTAGCCTCTAAAATAACATTTTTAATCATAATTTTAAGCATCCTTAATCATACTTTTAGTACTTTGAGTTACTTGTTTAACACTTAGGAAACCTCAAAACAGCAAATTATAGTTAGTTTCAAGATTCAACAATTCAGTTCAGCAAGCATCGCCCTCATGCACCCCCACAGACATGCATAAACTTGTTTCTCATCTTTAATAAGTAGGCTTCTTCCTCAATAGAAGTAGATTTCAATCGGCCCCATCATTCTTAAAACCAGTGTTGTGTGTGGGTACCGTGCTCTCCTCTTCCCTCTCCGTCTTCCCCAATGTCGTCTGCTTCTTTTCTCTCACTCTGTTCTGTTGCACAAATATGAGTGAAGTGAGGACTGTGCGTGTGGCTGACAACTTAAATCTTAAGTTTTTGGACCAATGGTGCCTTTTGTTAAAACACAACATTCTTTTTTTTTTTTTTAAACAAACAATTTTGTTCGGTCTAATTGGTCTTTATCATTATATTCTTTTGATTAACTAATAATCTATTTTTCTTTTATGTTAACTATAATCTACTAAAAAAGTTACATTCAGATGGTGTTAGGAATCAAGAGATGTACAAGATCTTAGACAATGCCTTAGTTCCGGTTGCTCAAAATGTACTAAGCTCTTCTGTGGTTTACAATACAGGTACTAATTTTGTTCTACAGTCTTTAAGTATATGATTTGTAAGAAAAAAGCAGAGCAATAATTTTTTTAAAAAAAAATCTCTTTAGACGAGTGACAATTTTTCTCCTAAAATATGAATCATACCTTCTTCTTTTTTTAACTGAATTCCGTTTGACTTCACAAGCTTCGGAAGCCGTGATCCAAGATGAAGGTGCTGAACTTGTTTTTGGTTTACAGTTTCCATAAATGATCTAAAATTTTTTCGATATGACATTTGGGTTCAATACTCTCTGGCTATATTGTTGAAAGTAAGTTTTTGGATCAATAGAAAAAGAACTGCTAAAATTGTTGACAATAAAAAAAAAAAAGTAACGCATTTTTTCGTTTTTGTTAGATAGAACTAATTTGCTGTTATTTTTGAAATATCGTATCATTTCATTTACTGAGTTAAGAAAATAATTGTGTACATCTTCAAAATCAATAGATGTATGATATCAGTGTTGAAAGGCCCATTAGTTCGATCAACCAAAATTGCTTTGAGCACCACTACAATTTGTGATGCAAGTAATGACGTGGATTGTTTTGTAGACTATATAATATGCATGAAATGATCTAAAATTGCTCTGTAATATGTAATGACTCCATCATAGTACTTCCTGATTTACTACTTTCTATTGTGAATTGGAATGCACTAGATGGATGACAGGATTTACAGCTTCATGCAAGTGAAAATTTACTGGTCCAGACCACAAGATCTATTCTGAATGATTGCGAAGAAAGTAATATTGCGTTTCGATTAATTTTGTTCATCTTTTTTGGCAAAATTTGTTGCATTCTATTTTGTTGTTTCTTCTCTAAAAAATGAACATGGTTGTTTAGATACAGAGATTAAAGAGATGCATAAAACCATTCAAAGACCGTTGGATCAAAATGCTGAAGACATGTTCATCCCTGCCTCAGTTCAAGATAGGTATATTGATCAGTGCATTTTATACATTCTGGAAGGAAAAAACATGTATCTTGCCAAAATCTTCTCATTCTATTTTTTTTCCTTTTTGGTTTGTTTTACTTATTTTTATAGCTACTGGGACTCGTGTGACACATGAAAGCATTCATAAACCCTTTGTTCAAGTCATACAGAATGCATGGAACATTACCATAGTACAAAATAAAGGTTTAATTCAATAAATGTGGCTTTGTTGTCTCCAAATTTGCCATGTCTATTCTCTAACTTCTATGTTATACTAAAAGATAGAAGTCTTTGGATTAATTAATGATCCTAACTTTTTATTGTATTAATTGAAATCAAAGAGAAGAATCACATGACTTAGATATTCACCTCGGTAAAAATTTGTTCGACCAGACCACAATTTCTATGGTTGCAAACTACAAAGAAAGTAATGCATTTTTTACTTGTTGAAGGGGAAAGTTATTTCAATTTTTGCCAAAATCTTGTGTCATTCTATTTTCTAATTTTTCTTAGAACAGGGACACAAGAAACCTATGAATGCAAGAGAAGTTTCTCAGTTCATGATGCTCAAAATGTATTGAGTCCTACCGTGGTTTATGATACAGGTATTGACATCATATTATTTTACAGTCTCCAAGCTGCCATAAAGGATCAAATACTTGTAGAAGTTTTTCACTTAATTTGTTGTGTTTTAACTTTTTGAAAGTATTTTATAAGTTTTTCCATTATCTTGTGTCATTTTTTTTCCTAGGCATCCTATCTTTAAAGTCTAAACTTATTGTTTGCCTATTTTGACTCCAGAGACAACTAAGGCTATTGAGAATTCCTTAATCCAAACAACTCAAGGAGCAGAGAACCCTACTGCAATACAAGACATAGGTTCTAATCTTGTTTTGATAGATCTTTGATTTAATCAACTAATGATTATATTATCTCTGATCTTGAGTATAAGAGCTAGTTAACTAATTTGAGTAAATTAAAAAAATTAGTTAAATAAGTTATTTGTAATAGATATGTTATTTTTCTTAAAATATCTTTGCTAATCAAGTGTATTAGTTAGAACTACTATTATTACAAGGATTATAATAACAACAAGCCTTATCCCACTAGGTGGGGTCGGCTACATGAATCGTACAATGCCAATGTGCTCTATCAATAACCAAGTTTTTAGGCCCAGATAAAGGGAGGGTTGTGTTAGGCCCTCGACAGTCAACGTAGAAACCCTGTCGAATTTTATGATCATTATTACAAAGATTACTTTAAAAAAAAGAAGATAAATATTAGAAATAAAATGGATTGGGGTCTTATATTTAGAATCAAAATAAAAATCAAACAAGCTTTTATATTAAGAACTGAAGGTAGTGGTTTTTGTTATGTTAAGTAAAATTTGTCAGAAGAATCACATGACTCAAAAGCTTGTTCTAGTGAAAATTTGTTCAACCAACCCATACCTTTCTAATTGCCAAGAAGAAACAAAGTGATAAATTTTTTTACTTCTTGAAAGAAAATACTTTAGTTTTATAATTTTTAAAAAAGTCTTGTCTCATACAGTTTTTTTTTTTTTAGCTACCGGAACACAAGAAATACATGACACCTTCCAAGCTAACCAAGATACAGAGAGAATACAGGTTCTTATCTTGTGCTTTATTTTCCTTTTTTTTTTTAAAAAACTATTCGTTAGTTACGGGATTCAATTACATTTCTACTATGGTGTTTATTAAAATCTACCAAAAGAATCACATGATTCATCTATTGACTACTCTAGTTTTGTTATTAACTATTTTTGTTTCAAAAATTAAAAAAATATATTAAGTTTTGTTGGAGATCTAGTGACTATTGTTTAGTTATTTACTACTTTTATGTAATTAATAGCTATATAAAAGTAATCACTGAAACTTTGAGGACAAAAGTAGTCCATAGTTAAACTAGGATAGTCAATAGTTATATGAAAGTAATCACCGAGAGTAAGGACGGTGTTGTCATTTCACAATATTTTGAAATTCCAAAATAGTACCAGGAGTTTGATTTGGGATTTTGCAATTTACCTACTCATATTTATCTTTTAGTATTTTTGAGGGTATTTTAGTGTTTTTCCCCCTAAAATCTATTAGATGAATAATAAGACTTAAAAAATCCCTTGTAATTTGAAATGGATACATTGGTTATGACTGATGATGACGATGGATAGTAATTTTTTTTTCTTTTTACTTTTTACTTTGTCGAAGAAGAAAAATTTTTCATTTTAATTTGCCAAATCTTGTAGCATTTATTTATTTTTGCCAAAAGTTGTCTGTTCAGCCATTAGGACTGAAGAGATGAATGAGACCATTCAAATACCATTAGCTGAGGCTGGTGAAAGCACATTAACTCAGACCTCAGTTCAAGAAATAGGTATAGTAATCTTATTCTGTGGTTCCTGTTTGCCATAAATCACACTAATGAAGTGCTTTATCATACTGTGTGCCGTGACTCTTTTCTATAGCACTTTTTGACATATTTATGACATGAACTTTTTGCTGTGTGGATGGAACATAGTAAAAAGCAGTTTAGTCTTTTGGAAGAAAAAACATTTACTTTTAATTTTCCTTTTGCCCCTACAATCTTGAGTGATTTTGTGTTCAATTAATTTTCTTTTTGTTTTTTTTTTCCCCTTCTTACTGGTTTAGCTCTTCAAATTCAAGATGAAACTATTGAGAGGCCTTGGTTCACGGTACAGGTCAAGGCACGTTAATTCCTGGCATAGTTCAGAACACAGGTTCTAATCTTATGTTTTCTATTGAAGTACAATATTATTATGTTTACAAACAATTTTGTTCAGTTTAATTGGTCTTGGTTATTGTAATCTTTTGATTAACTAATAATTTATTTTTATTTTAACTAATCTACTAAAAAAATTACATTCAGATGGTATTAGGAATCAGGAGATGAACTTAGAGAACGCCTTAGTTCCTATTGCTCAAAATACACTAAGCTCTTCCGTCATTAACAATATGGGTACTGATTTTTGTTTTACAATCTTCAAATTACGATTTTTTTGCCTTAATATGTCTTCTTATATTTCAAATGCTAATTGCTCCCAAGCTTCAACTCTATTATTTTAGTTTGATTTGCCACCTTATTTAGTGATGTTTAATAACTCGTTAATGGAATGACTTTGAATGCTCACCAAGAGTAATGAACATCCAAACTCAACTTATCAAATCTGAACTAATTAGATCTTGTGTATTTCTTATCAATTGTTAAGCCATGCTATTACTCATTAATTGATACTTCAAGCTCTATACCATGTAAATCAAAATACAATTAAAAAAATTACATACTTCTAACAAGAATTTGACCAATCAAACTATAAACTCGTGTAGTAGCTAAAAGTAGCGCAAGTAACTCTTTTTCCCCGTCTATTTCTAGGATGACGAATTTCTCCCGGAAAAATATAAATCGTCCTTTTTTCTAAATTTTATTTGACTCGTTTATGTAGCTATTGGTCCACCTTCACAAGCTTTTGAAGCCGTGACCTCATCAATCGGAAATGAAGGTATTGATGTTTCTTTTCAGTTAATTCTTGTTTCATGACATTTTTGGGTTCAATATAGTCTCTGGCTTAATTGTTGAATATAAGGTTTTTGTATTATGAGTGAGCTAAAATCCAATAGAAAAAGAAGACACAAATATCTAAGTGGTAATCTATTTAACCAAGCCACGACAACTTCTAAAATTATTGGCAGCAAAAAAGTAATGAATTTTTCCTTTTTGTCATTAGATAGAACTAATTTACTTTTACCTTTGCAAACTAGTGTCATTTTGTTTACGGAGTTTTATAATTGTGTAGCTCTTCAAAATCAAGAGATGTATGATGAGATATGCATCAAATGATGTAAAATTCCTGTAGTACGTAATGACCCCATTATCGTACTTAATCGTTTATTAATTTCTTTTATGAACTGGAATGCACTAGATGAATCACAGGGTTTAAAACTTCTTCCAAATGAAAATTTGCTCGTCCAGGACACAACATCGATTGTGAATTATGACAAAGAAAGTAATATTGCTTTTCTGAAGAATTAATTTTAGGGAGAATTACAATAAGGTCCAAAGCAAGGAAAATAATTAAAAAACAAGTCTCAGAGGTTGTTATTCTCACTATAGAACTTGTTATTATAGGCTGTTGAAATTGTTATTAGATCTTTTGATAATTATTTCTTTTTTGTGGAACTTGATTGTAATTCCCTCTTAATTTTATTTATCTTTTTGCAGCATGTGTTAATATATTTTTTTCTTTCAAAAATAATTTTGGTTGTTTCGATAATGGGACTGTAGATGCATGAAACCATTCAAAGACTATCGGTTCAAAATACTGAACACCTGTTAATCCCTGTCTCAGTTCAGAACATAGGTATGATTAGTGCATTTTATCCATTTTGAAGGGAAAAAATTTGTATTTTGCCAAAATCTTATTAGTTATTTTTCTTTTTGGTTTGTTTTACTCATTTGTGTAGCTACTAGGACTCATGTGACACTTGAGAGTATTGATAAATCTTTCGTTCAGGCTATACAAAATGCATGGGATATTACCATAATACAGGATAGAGATTTGATTTAACAAGTCTAGTTTTGTTGTCTCCAAATTTGCCACAAAACCTTGAGTCACTCTATTTGCTGATTTTAATTCCCTTTTAATTACTTATTTAACCAGATATAATTGATCCAACTCCTTCCCAAGCTTCAAAAGCTCCGTCTTCATCAACAACACCATTAGCAGATTTTTGCAGTGGCTTTAAGGAGTTGGACATTTCCGCAGAGTTGCTGCCTTATTTGGAGGCTGGGGTGAAGCGCCATCCTCAATTCTTAACTGGCTCAACCAAAGCAACCAAGAGTGTTTGCTTCCTCCTCCTTTTCCTTATTCGCTGAGGTGACTCGTATTCTAAGGACCACTCGGAGAGGCAAATTGACAGAAGAAGATCGAAACAACATTCGAAAGTGTTGCACCGTCTTAGAAGCGGCTGGCTTTGATGCTTCATGGCTGAGTTACGTAAATAAATGCATTGGGGAATGCAGCGATGGAGCAGATATGAAGAGGAAGGTTGAGGAGACTAAAGGCCAAGCTTCAAATCTCGAAGCTCAGCCTGAGTCCATCGAGAAGGAGTTAGCTTCTGTAAAAGAGTCCTTAGTGTTGTTGCTTGATGAGGCTGATGGGCTGGACGACTTCATTGAATCCTGAAGTTTGTGTCCACTCTCTTAGAGCTACCTGCCTAGACTATGTATTTAATTTTTGCATGCTGCTTTTGTGGTCTGTCTACTGCATAATGTTTTCGGCAATGCTATAATATATTGCAGCAGACATTGGCTATGCTATATCCGTCTCAGGGTAGTGTTTTAATTATATGGCTTTGGATTGCAGTATGGGAGACTAATTCTTAGTCATTTTAAAGGGAAAGAACATATTGAGCATTTATTTTTTTTTATTTTTATTTTGATTCTAAATATGAGATCCCAATTTATTATGTTTCACATATTTATTATTTTTTCTAAGGTATTATTGTAATAATAGTAGTTCTAGTCAGTATATTTTATTAATAAGAATATTTTAGAAAAAATAATACTTATTTATTATAAATAACTAATTTAACTAGTTTTCTTAATATACTTAAATTAGTCAATTAGCTTTTATATCAACGATATAATATAACCTTTATTGTTCTTTAGCTTAAAAGAATTTGGCTTGGTTCCTCATACAATCAGGGTTCAATTCCTCATTTATCAAGATAGAAACTACCTCATAAAATGAACTTGGATTTTCTTCTGCCTTGATTGATTCTTTTAATTGAAATTCGGAGGTACTGTTCGAAAACAGCAACTTAATCATTGAACGAGAAATACAAATTAAGGTTTTGACACGTGTTAATTGTCGAAAGAAAATTTGTAATATAGAGAAGGGGCGGTGTTAGCAGCTAGCTTAGGCGCTCCACCTGTTAGATCCCACTTTGTGATTTTATACTATTTAAGTGAATTAATTCTTAATTATAACTTTTTAATTAGCATGTTAACCCAATTTATTTCTCATGACATAAGAAACTCTTCCTTGAAATTCAATTCAGCAAATCACAACATCTATACAACAGAAAAATGGATGTTTTACGTTTCAGTTAGAAGTAATTCATCTTTGGTATACTGAAATCTTGTGTCGTAATTTTAAATTAACTTCTGTTTCCTTTTTTTTTTTTTTTGGGTTTAACTTACTGTAGCTTTCCGAGCTCGAGGTGTGTAAAACACATTAACGCCAGACATAATTTTTCCGCAGTCTCTATTTCAGCATATTTGACTTCGAACAACTTTGTTATGTTCAATCAATTTTTGTCATATAATAGTCATTGCATTAACCAACAAATTCTAAATTTCTGTTGCATCCCTTGAAATTCTAATTATAAGACCTTGTTGGGTCTTATAATTATGATCCAAGGTAATACTTGGTTGAGATATATTTGTACTAAAAAAGTGCCCTTAATTCACACTCCTCAAAATGTGGTCATCTACGTACCCTGTCCTGTTTCGTGATATAGGTGTTAGTTTTATTTCATCATAAATTAATGCCCAACTACTTGTATATTTTTCTTTAACTTGTTTTTTGAGTTCTAATGATTCCAGTATTGCCCAACAATTTCAATTTTATTTTAGTTCATTTTGTTTTATTTAGTAATATTTAATAAATCAATAGTTGTTACGGCACCCTGCTTCTTAATAAGTGATATTTCTAGTTTTCTGTTTTGTTGGCGATGCATAGTTACATCTTATTTCTTTTAATATGAAAATTAAATAAAATACCATTAGTATGGAAATTGATATTTCTAACTCTGATTAACGCAATCCTATTCAAGTTAAGGCTTGAGCATTAAATGTGAACCCGTTTTCTAATAGATCCGTCATAGCCATACCTTCCAACCCCACCAATTTCACAAAATCCTCTTGTAGGGCCACTCCCTACCCTGTTTTTTTGCATTCAAAACAGAGTAATAATTTGTGTGGCGTATTTGTTCCATGGGAGAAGAAAGGGAGTTCCCGAGAGTACCAGATAATTTGTGGAGTAATAATTTAAAAACAAAAAAAACAAAAAGGAACGACACATGAATGCGCATGCTTCGCATTTGTCTAGTCCTCCACAAAATTTGAGGGACAAACTTCTAACAATTTTCAAGACATTATATATATGTGTACATATAGAGCTATTCACGGGATAGGACGGAACCGAAACAAAAATTAAATTTTTGTGTTATTGAAACTTTTTAGTAATTAAATTTCTTATTTAGGACTTCTTAGTAATTCTTTCATGTATAATACTACCTCATGTCCTTAATAACAAGAATAATTTGATTTTTATTTTAATTATAAATATAAAACTATAATCCATTTTGTTTATCATATTTACCTTTTTTTTAAATAGTCATTACAATAATAATATTTAACTAATATACTTAACTGGTAAGAATATTTTAAGAAAGATAATACTTATTTATTACAAATAATAAACTTAACAAATAGTAATGGTATTATTATACATAGAAGTGGGGCGAAAGGGATTTCCGTCTCATGTCCTGTCCTGTTCTGTCCCAGGACCAAGATGGGATGGAACCTGTTTCTCTTTTTTTTTAAAAAAAAAAACACTATAATCTTTTGTATAAATTTTTTATGTTATAATGTTTGTTTTTCATTGGGTTTCTAAGGATAAAAATATTGTGAAAAAAATATTATGTGGAAAGCTCTATTATATTATATAAAAAGTTGTAAAAACAATATTGTATAAAGAAACACTATATAATGGCTTTGAGAATATTTTATTAAAAAGAAGATTTTGTTGAGATAACACTGCAACTTAAAAGTTAAAAATCACTATGAAAATTATTATTATTATTAAGTGAATTGAATAATTTAATAATAATTATTAATAAATAATTTTTAAAAAAATACTCTAGGACAAGACAAGATGACCACGTCTTGTGTCATGTTCCGTCTGTTGGAAATTGTGCTCTAGGGGCCAATTATTATGTTATGAACATTGTTGATTTATGAATTATTAAATTATGTTTATATTATTTGTATGTTTACTGTGATGACTATCCTTGGATAACTCATGATTTATCCTAAATGTCCCTGGTCGGTCATCTATGTGGGAGTAGAGATGAAATAAGACCAGTATGACTTTGAAGATATATAGAGATATAAATTAAAGTCATAGGCACATGTAAGAATACAAGGTGTTGGACCGACCCGCTATGAGAGAGTTGCATGGGTTAAGTCATAAGCCTCTCTCATATACAAACCATGTCACTGTGCCCTTTGACCTGAGATCATTATGAATTCCTACATGAGAAACGCTCAGCTTTGACCTAGTCAAAAGTCACTTTTGACCGAGTGATCATAAAGACTATGTTCAGGCTTAGTGTTTTTTTTTTTTCATGCGGAGGAATGTGAATGGTCAAGATGGAATTTGTCCCTCACATTCGTAGAGAGATATTACTGGGCC